GCAATAGTGGGGGGATTTTTATTTTGTTGAGCCTGTCTGTACCCCTGATGGGGATGCTTTTGGCTAAGTCATTTCCCAGTGAAGTATGTGCTGAATGGCTAAAGAGGTCAAATGTATTTCCATGTACTGAGAGATTGTATTTCAATGGAAAGGGACTTGTTGGCATATCTTTACATATTTAACAATTAGGTTGAATTACTTGAAATGAATTCAAATTGGTAAGAGATGTTTGCCAAATTTATATATATCTATCTATCTATCTATCTATCTATATATATATATATAGTTTTATTGAGGGATATAGGCTGGTAACTTGCCAAACAGCTAAAGAGAAATGATAGAATTAAAAAAGTACAAGTTGAGGCAACTAAACTTTTTTCTTTTTGTCCTAGAACAGGAACTCAACTACTTGATGAAGAAATGAAAGATTGTATATTTTTCCTATTAATGTTTAATGATGATCTCTGAAGGAAATGCAAAGCAAGTTACATAATGATCATTTTAAGTTCTGTACTGTGTTTTATATCCTTTTTTTTTTAAGATTTTATTTATTTATTTCAGAGAGAGAGAAATCAAGAGAGACCAAGCATGGGGAGGGGCAGAGGGAGTGAGAAAAGCAGACTCCCCCCCCCCCCCGAGCAGGGAGCCCAACGTGGGGCTCGATCCCAGGACCCTGGGATCATGACCTGAGCTGAAGGCAGACACTCAAAAGACTGAGCCACTCAGGCTCCCCCTTGTTGTTATATCCTATTGATACTTTGTGGTCTTGAGTAGCTCAAAAGGAATTTTCAGAATCTTGAGGTCAAGAGGTTTGCCAGTGAGGACTTTTGTACTCTTCTTATCAAATCAATTCATAGCTAGGGCTGTCTTTCATTCACTGTACGATGCTCAAGAGCTTACTTTTTTCCTCTGTTCATCAAATCTTTATTTGAACATCCCTTAAGACCTATTTCATGATTTCCCCATTGTCATTTGGTGCCTGTAAATCAAACTACTTAGTAGATCAGAATAATTGCTGTCCTTTTAAAGGATGCATTTTTTAAAACCTTTTGTTTGTTTTCTTTTGATAGAAGACTTTTCTGGTGAGATTATTAGTTATGATATTAATGAATGTGATTATGTGGTACTATATAAATGAAATGTGTCAATGTTTGGAAGATCTGCATAACTCTGTGAATCAGTATTTTCTAAATGACCAAATGCATGATGGTACAAAATCATGCACTGAGTAGAAGATATATTTAAAGTGCAGGATAGATGAATGGAATTTAATGTAAGAATATGAAATGCTTCCACATTGCAGCTAACCTTTATTTTTTAAAAAATTTTCTTGAAGATTTTATTTATTTGACAGAGAGAGACACAGCGAGAGCAGGAACACAAGCAGGGGGAGTGGGAGAGGGAGAAGCAGACTCCCTGCCGAGCAGGGAGCCCGATGTGGGGCTCGATCCCAGGACTCTGGAATCATGACCTGAGCCGAAGGCAGACGCTCAACGACTGAGCCACCCAGGCGCCCCTGCAGCTAACCTTTAAGAAACTTCCACTTGTTGAGTTTTGGTATAGTATCCAAGAAGAATATATCTAGAATTATTTGACAAGGCTATTAAAATACTCCTCTCTTTTTAAAGTACATATTTGAGTGAGGCTAGATTTTTTTTTCATATCCTTCAGCCAAAACAACATATTGCAAAACTGAGCGTAAAAGCAGATATGAGAATTCAGCTCTTTTATTAAGCCAGACATTAAAAAGATTTGCAAGAATGTAAAACAATGCCATGCTCTGTTTCTTTTGGAAATCCTAATGATTCCATTAAAAATATTTCTATGTTAATATGTAGTAGGTTTGTTATGAATTAATAAATATTTTTAAAATCTCTTGGTTTTCATTTTCTATATAGTAAATTTAATCCCTATAATTCATCTACACAGAAGCTTTTTGGTGTTCTCAGTACTTTTTTTTAAAAGAGTGTAAAAGGTATCCAAGACCAAAATGTGTAAGAACCTTTGGTGTAGTGCTTAAGCAGGGACTTGGAGCCAAATTGCTTAAGTTTAAAACTCAACTTGATTGTTTAATAGCTCTGAACAAGATATTGAACTACTTTTTGCCTCATCTATAAAGTGTAGTAATATACTCTATAAGGTTGTGATATGGATTAACTTGAATATATGAAAAGTTCTTAGAATTTATATAGCATTTGGCAAGCTGTATAATTATCACCTGTTGAACATTGGTAGTGTAACGTGTTCTCCTTTACTGATGCTAAATTTCTAGCTTTCTAGAGATTGGGTGTTTTGGGGTATTAACACTGTCAACTCAGTAGAGTCCTATATCCACAGATACCCTGTATCCACAACCTTTTCTGTAATCCTTTTTCCTCCAAGTCCATGGTTCTCAACCTTTGCTGTGCATTTGAATCACCTAGGAGCTTGAATTTAAAACAAACACCCCAATACCCAGGACCTCGGAGAGGGACCTCAGATTAACCCAATTGAACCAAAATCAGGAGGTGGAGGGTAGGGCCCAAGTATTAGTATTTTTAAAGCTCTCTAGGTGATTCCATTGCAAAGACTGGTAACCACTACTCTGGAGTCTGACTTTCTGCCTGGAGGTTCCGCCTTTCCCTCCATGTTCTCCAATAAATTAGAGCTGATTTCTCTCTCACACCCCTTATACCATTGTGCCTAGAGGTATGTAGGTGTTCTCCTTGCTCTTCAGTGCTGCTACCAAGGAAATTGTCATTCCCTTTTCCCTAAAATTCTCTACATAAATGATTTAATATGCATATAAATGATTCTTCTGAGCCAGGCAAGCTTTTGGTGGTACTCCACACCTTGTCAGTCCCAGTTACAGACCACCTCTGCTCCCTCGGTTGTAACCGTCATGTTCTCTGACCACACCTCCCATCTTTCCAATTCATTCTTTTTAGTAGTTATCTGTTAGTATGTTATCTGTTAGTTATCAAATCCATTAGTCTTTTTATTTAGCCAATAGCACTGGCCCTGTTACTGCGGACACCTACTGATTGACCTAATTGGAGGAGCAAACCTCACCCTAATGAGCATTAGCCTACCAGGCTTTTATTACCTTTGTCATTCTTATTCTATTCACTGTCCTTGAATTTGCAGCAGCCCTAGTTCAAGGTTATGTATTTTCCCTATTAGTAAGTCTTTCCCCATGTAATAATACCTAATGATCCACCAAACTCAGGACCGTTGGTTCTGCCACCCTTTCACAAATTCTCACCTCCCTTAAACTTGCTTGTCTTTTTCCTGGCTTAACGTCCATGGTCCATAATTATAATCATTCTTTTGCAAACCCTCTAAGATCTTTGCCTCTCTTTCTGTTGTGCTTTTCTGGCAAAGTCCCAAGCTTTGTTAAATCCAAATTCCTCTCACTTCGCATTTGCACCCAGGCAATGAAATTTATGCTCATTGGTCTCACTTAAAAACCATCCCTCTAACCTCAGTGGGGCTTTTAGTGCTGTCTGGAATTCCTCCTACATTTCTCCAGTCCATTTATTCTACTAAATGACTCTTCTAAGTGACTATTTCATACTTTCTTCTCCAACTTCCAATATCCTTTCCTTCTTCCTGACTCCCATTTGATGACCTTCCTTCCTGTTTCAAGGAGAAAAGAGAAGCTCTCCGGACCACATGCTCCTGTCACCTCACGGAACATCCTGCCTGCACTTAACACTCATTTACTTGGCTTTTCCTCCCATTCCTATGGATGGACTCTGCGCTCATTTCTAAAGCCAGCCCTTTTGGAGATCCCATCCCTGTCTACCTATTTGCTTTCTTTCCTCCTGCTATTCTGCCTCCCACCCCCACCTTATTCCCCACCCCCTTCTCTACATGGACATTCCAGCAGACGACAAACATCTGAGCAGAACTTTCCCTTGACCCCACACTCCCCACTAGTTGCCAGTTTGAATTGTCTGGCCTAACTATGTGCACTTTCTACGTATCCTTTCTTCAACGCTTGACAGTCACGTTTTACGTTACCAAAGAGCACCAGCTGAGGATGCTATTCATGGGTGTGTCACTGGGCCCAGTGGTCAGCTCTCAGGCTTCCTTAACTCACCTTGTTAACACCATTTCACACAGCTGATCACCTCTTTCTCCTTGAACCACTCCCTTCCCTAGGCTTCTGGGATGCATGCTGTATGGTGCTCAGTAACATTTATTACCATCTACTGATCTATTTCATTGTTTGTTGTTTATTTTGGCCCACTAAAATGTAAGTTCCTGGAGAGCAAGGGCTTGGCTTATTTTCTTTACTGCCTAGGACGGTGGCTGATGCTTAATAATAGGCATTTGATAGCTATTGTTGAATGAATGAATGTGAGCTTCACAATGACTGTCTGTTGACCAGATCTTACCCCGTTCCCAGCTCCTTTCTTGCTCATAAGCTGTCACGGCCATTTCCTTCCTCTCTCTGAACCTTGCATTTCCTGATTGATTTTCCCTCTTCTACTCCATTCCTATCATTTCCAGGCCAAACCATCACCGGTGTGCTTATATTTCTGTGGGGCTCCAGTGTTTACAGAGCATTTATTTATATCTGGTATTACAGATGCAGATGGTCTGGGGATCTGGGTTGAATGATATTAGCATATAATGCTGGATTTATGTGCAGATTGACAAAAATTAAAATTATAAAAGAATAAGAAGGAAATTAAGTCTTCTAGGGCTAAAGTGATGGTCTTCTAGGATATCTAGGTTTCTTGTTTTATCACTGCCCTGCTCTACACTTTACTGTTTCTGTCTCCTCATGATGGAATTCCGCCTTGATTTTCTGCCAGGAATTGTAGAAGGCAGGCAAAGTCACCAAGCTCAAAAGCTGCTTCTAACTTCAGTTCTGCATTTATTGCTAATTAAGAGTAATCTGTTCCTCTTAGATTTTCATACCTCTTTCCCTCTATGTCGCTGTGTTCATGTGATACTGGATTTGTATGAAAATTCCTTTTTAACTGGCCTTTTATTTTTGGCTTCTGCAGAACCTTGCCTCCTGGAATCCTTCAAATCCTGAATGTCTGTTACTTGTGGTGAAGGAGCTCGTGCAGCAATACCACCAGTTCCAATGCAGCCGCCTCCGGGAGAGCTCCCGCCTCATGTTTGAGTACCAGACGTTACTGGAAGAGCCGCAGTACGGAGAGAACATGGAAATTTATGCTGGGAAGAAAAACAACTGGGTAAGGTGATTTTGAGGATGGGAAAAAAAGGCACTTCACATCACTTCTGATGTTCATTTGTAGTAAATCCCAGCCATTTCCTTAGATAAATATGGTTTCAGTTGCCTGTGTACTTTCTCATAATTTAGAGTTTGAAGGGACTTAAACGTTCATCTGGTTCAATATGTTCCTCAAAATGATCACCTGGGGAAGTTTGTAAAATTTGGAGTCCTCTATCCGCATCCCCAGATGTTCACGAGTCAGGGGTGAAACCTTGGCACCTGCCTGTATAATAAGGGTCCCTTAAAGGTTCTTTTTTTTTTAAGATTTTTTTTAAAGATTTGTTTATTACTTATTTTGAGAGAGTGAGAATGAGAGAGAGAGAGTACATGAGAGGGGGGAGGGTCAGAGGGAGAAGCAGACTCCCCGCTGAGCAGGGAGCCCGATGTGGGACTCGATCCCGGGACTCCAGGATCATGACCTGAGCCTAAGGCAGTTGCTTAACCAACTGAGCCACCCAGGCGCCCTCCCTTGGAGGTTCTGAGGCAGGTCACACAGGCCACATAGTTGAGACACTGACGAGCGCCCCTTCCTTTTCGGTGTAGAACGTCTCTCTCTCCCAGTCAGATAAGAGAGGTCAGTAACTCTGGAGGTAGCTAGCTTGTCTGGACCCTTTTATAATCTCTTTTTGTAATTTTTTGACTTTGTAGGATCTTACAAACGCAAGTTGGGTCGCATCTCTCCTCTGCCCAGAACTTAAATATACTGTTTCTCACGTGCTAAAGCCAAAGTCCCTCCAGTGGCATAGAAACGCCCTATGTGCTTCCCATCACCACCACCCTCCACCCATCATTGCTTCTCTCACTTTGTCTCTTACTGTCCTGTCTAAAAGTTTCCAGCTCTACCATACTAGCATCCTTGCTGTGCTGCAGACACACAGGTGTGCTCCTGCCCTAGGGTCTCTGTGTAGCTTCTCCTTGTTTGGCATATTTCCCCTAGATATTCTCATGGCTGATACCCTTCCTTTTTAGTTTTTACTCACATGTTATATTCTCTGTGATGCCTGTGTTAATACCCCCATTTTTTTTTTTTTTTTAAGGAGACTCCATGCTGGCTCCCAGGGTGGTGCTTGAACTCACGACCCTGAAATCAAGACCTCAGCTGAGATCAAGAGTCAGTTGCTTAACCGACTGAGCCACCTAGGTGCCCCAACACCCCCCAATTTTTTTAAACAACTTTTTTGAGGCATAATTTATATACCGTAAACTCACCTGTTTTAAGTGTCCGATTCAGTGATTTTTAATACATTTGCCAAGTTGAGCAGCCATCACCACAGTCCAGTTTGAGAATGGTTCCATCATCCCGATAAGATCGCTCATGCCCATTTATGGTTAATCGTCTTCCTACCTCTATCCCAAGAGAAAGTAGTTGGGAACTACTAAACTACTTTTTCTCTGTATAGGTTTTCTTCATACAATGGTATTCTTTTGTGGCTGGCTTCTTTCACTTAGCATCATATGTTTGCACTTCTTCCATGGTGTAGCATGTGTCACTGCTTGCTTTTTGTGGCTGAATGATTCCATTGTATAGACATACCACATTTTGTTTCTCCATTTACCTATTGATGGATATTTGGGTTGTTTCCACTTTTTGACTCTTACGAATAATGCTACTACAAACATTCACATGCAAGTCTTTGTAACACCCCCCCTTTTTAAAAGATTTTATTTATTTATTTGAGAGAGAACGCGAGCAGCGTGGGGTGGGGGTGGGAAGGGCAGAGGAAGGGGGAGAAGCAGACTCCCCGCTGAGCAGGGAGCCCCACCTGGGGCCCGATCCCAGGACCGTGAGATCATGACCTAAACCGAAGAAGGCAGATGCTTAACTGACTGAGCTACCCAGGCACCCTGCGTAACACCCCTTTTTTAAAATCGCATCTCGCACCCCCCCACCTTTGCTCTACGTTTATTTGCATCTGTTTTTAACATACATATAATTAGCATGTTGTATTAATATATAGTGCTGCATAAAATAACCATTTCAGAATTTAGTGACTTAAAACAACAACATTTATTATCATAGTTTTTGTTTGTCAGGAATCTGTATAGACCCTCTGCTTCTGGGGCTCTGGTAAGCTGAACTCAAGGTATTGGCCAGGGCTGTAGTCTCCTCAAGGCTTAACTGGAGATGGATCCATTCTAAGTTCATTCATGTGATTGTTGGTACCATTTAGGTCCTTGTGGGCCTTTGGATTGAGGGTCTTAGTTCAGCCCTGGCTTCTGGCTGTTGGCTGGGGTTGCCCTCAGCTTCTTGGCTCTTCACAGGGCCTCTCCACAGGGCAGCTCATAAGATGGCAGCTGGCTTCACCAGAGCAAGCAAGCAGGAGAGAGAGTGTGTGAGACAGACGTCAGTCTTTACGATCAAATCTTGGAAGTGGTATCTCATCACATTTACTGTGTTCTGTTTATTAAGTCCAGTCCATACGCAGGGGAGGAATTATATGAGAGGGTGAATACCAGGGACCATTGGGAGCCACTTAGATGCAGCCTACCACACTCATTTATTATGTTTATTGTTTGTGTGTCTCTCCCCACTGGAATGTAAAATTTCAGGAAGGCAGGTATCTCTGCTCTGTTCACTGTTGTATCAGAAACACCTAGAACAGTGCCTGCCACATTGTTTATTTTCTATAAACATTGTTGAATGAATGAATGAATAAACCTGAGTCTAGTTAACCATAGAATAACTTTTAGGTTTCCTTCTCTGTCTTACCTCTTTTAGGTTTCACTTAGTCTTCCTTCTCTTAAGTTAAATATGCCTTTTTCCCTTTTATTCACCTTTTCTTAAAAGACATGTTTCCCAAGGTCTTATACATGATTAATGCCTTTGAATCAGTAGGTTTAAAATTTATTGTTACAAATCATCTTGTTTGTTCAGTTCAAGATTTTTTTTAAACTATTTTGTTTATTGTGGTAAAAGACACATAAAGTTAAATTTACCACCTTCACCATTTCTAAGTATACAGTTCAATAGTGTTGAGTATCTTCACATTGTTGTGCAATACATCTCTAGAACTTTTTCATCTTGCAGATTTGAAACTCTATGCCTGTTAAGTACCAGTTTCCCTTCCTTCTAGCCCTTGGCAACTACCTTTCTCCTTTCTCTTTCTGTCATTTTGAGTCTTTTAGATTCTTGCAGTAAATGGGATCATGCAGCATTTGTCCTTTTGTGACTGGCTTATTTCATTTAGCATAATGCCTTTGAGGTTCATGCAGGTTGTAGTATGTGATAAATTTCATTCCTTTTTTAAGATTGCATAGTATTCCGTTGTAAGTATATACACATTTTGTTTACCCGTTTACACGTTGATGGACATTTGAGTTGCTTCCGCCTCTTGGCTGTTGTGAATAATGCTGAACTGTATAAGAGTGTGCTAATACATCTGCAAGATCCTGCTTTGAATTCTTTTGATTATATCCCCAAGAGTGGGATTGCTGGTTCATATCGCCAGTGCTATTTTTCAGTTTTGAAAAACCTCTTTACTATTTTCCATAATGGCTGCACCATTTTCAGTTTCCACCAACAGTGCAGAGGTTAAGGCTTTAAACTACTGATGATTTTGCATCTTGAATCTGTTCGCATGGATAGTAAGGAAGACTGTGTTGGACTTAGTTTATCCTCTCATCCTAGCATTTTTCTTATTAAATAATCATCTTAGTTCTCCTCTCAAAAACAGATGTTAGGTTAATTTGGCACGACTTCTTGGTGAACCTGTGTTGTCTTTAGTGCTGATAGACTCATTTGAAAACAGGAATCACTGTCAAACTAATTGGTCTTTGGTTTTTAGGATTTTCCTTCCTACCCAATTCACCCTTTGGATATTAAGGCTGATTTTAAATATATCCAGTTTTATGGCACCTTTTCCGAACTAAAAAGTTTTTAAATTGCAGTTGACCCTAGAACAACATGGGGTTAGGGGCACCATCTCCCCACTTCCACCCCTATCATGCAGTCAAAAATCCATGTATAACTTTGGACTTCCCCAGAACTTAACTACTAATAGCCTACTGCTGACCAGAAGCCTCACTGCTAACATAAAAGGTCAATTAACACATATTTTGTATGTTATATGTATTATATACTGTTTTCTTCCAATAAAGTAAGCGAGAGAAAAGAAAATGTTATTTTAGAAAATCTTAAGGAAGAGAAAATACAATAATAGTCCTGTACTGTATTTATTGAAAAAAATCTCTTTGTAAGTGGACCCGTGCCGTTCAAACCTGTGTTGTTCAAAGGTCAACCTTATATTCATTGGCTCAGGTAATACTTGACTTATAGTCCATCTAGATGTTGAAGTTTAAATTCATTTAAAGCAGCTAGACAGTTTAAATTTATAGTGTTTTGAAAACTTTGTATTTAATGTTAACTGATTCTTCGTTCTTCACTTAAAAAGCCTACTACTGCTATACTTACCCAGTTTATTTTGATTTACTATTGAATAATTTGTAAGCATTAGGGCAGTGGGTATGGATTCAGGGGAAGTGAAGAAACTGAGAATCCCATAGCAAGGCAGGATGGACGGTTAGAGGTTAAGCTTCCAGCAGAGCAGGCCTAGGGAGGGCCCTAGTAGAAGTGGGAGCTCAGAAGTAAAAAGATAGGCATATGAGTTAGTCATTGGTCAAGGAACAGAATATAAAGGTGTCTTGAGGGATGAAACACATTCAAGCTTGGCAGACTGGTTCAGGAATGCATTGAAGGACACTCTGCTAATGGAATCCATAACTAGACCAAGAATTTGGACAATAAACACAGGATACTGGCAGAAAACAAGGAACTTGATTTTCAGTTTTGAGCCAAGACTTTTCGAATCTAGGACTGTATGAGTTTCCTTTTGCTACTGTAAAAAATTACCAAAAACTTGGTGGCTTAAAACTACACAAATTTATTTTTGTCATAGTTCTGGAGGTCAGAAATCTGAAATGGGTCTCCTTGGGCTAAAATCAAGGTGTCGGCAAAGCTGT